GGTCTAGGGTAGTTACAAAAGAAAAAAGGCCTTTGACTTTCAAAAATCTAAATATTCATGTGTTGAGTCTTGAGACTTGTAATCAGCAGGGAGAGCTTCAATACCTGGCAAGTCCCTGTGAAGAGGCCCTCCCTTCCTTTGCACCTCTGGGTTAGAGAAAGTGAAATCACAGAATTCCGAGATAGGTGTCTGGAGGTCTAAAAGGAGAGGGGGCCTTTATTTGGCTTCCCAGGTAGAACCCAGGAAGTCAGCAAGAAACCTGAGAAAGAAATGGCTGTCAGTTGTCTACTGGATAGGACCTTATGTAAACTTCAGATAAGTCTATGTAATTATGTAAGTCATACAGTCTCTTGTGATGCAAAGCCAATACAGTGGTCCTGCTCCATGAGCAAATGTTATGGAGAAGTCCTGGCTACAAAGTTGCCCCTGTAGGCTGGCATAGCATGGAAAGAGCAGAATGAATAGCCAGGTGATGCAGACCTGAAGTAGCCTCAAGAATAAGAATGCATGATGGTCTAACAGCAAACAACATAGATTTATAATAAAGGACCAAATAGGATATGTGACATTTTAGTAAATGACAACAGAATGAGTCACCTATGGAAGATGAGATGCTTACTTAGCTCCTTCCAACTTTCTAGACCTTACAGGAACTTAAAACTTTCAGCTCAGAAAAATCAAAGGAGATCCTGAATTTACTGAGATTCAAGTTTCTCCTTACACCCTCAGTAAATGGGGGCCTAAATTTTATGCAATTAGAACAAAATAAAATGTCCACTTCTTACACCCCTGATTCATTACTTTTCAGTTTGGGGATCATTACCACAAATAATCAGTTTTGTTATTTAGTGAAGAAAATATACTCATATTTTTGGATACATACTTTTCTGATATTAGTGACTTAAAAAAGGAGTCTGTACATTGCTTCTCAAGCTTTATTGTGCATGCAAAACACCTGTGGTGTTTTGAAACTATTAATTAATCCTTTGAAACTATTAATTCAGTAGGTCTGCCATGAAAGTATTAACTTTTATCTAGCTCTTAGGTGCTGCGAGTACAGGAACCAGGCTCTTTGAGTACCTAGCTTGCTCAAGATGCTGGCAGAATGACTATAGTTCATTGGTTTTGATACATACTCACTAGCACTTTCTTAAAAGAGTTCATTGGTTTTGATACATACTCACTAGCACTTTCTTAAAAGAGTGGCACTCATGCCTGAACTGAACAATAGACAGGGCACAATTTTGGACTACAGTTTAAAATACAAAATGAAAGTAAAGTAACAAAGTTCATTCAAAATCAGTTAAGAGAAGTCAGTGTTGCTGTTTAAGAAAATTTTGAATGCCATTAAATTTGTTCATTTAGAATTTTAAGACTTACCCATCAGGTAAAAGAAGTAAATATTAGTAATTTGAGTGATACTGTAACGGGGTGGTCCCTATGGAAAGGGGAGTTTCCAGGTTCTCTGCCCCACCCAAAGGTGGGTGGAGCTGAGCAGGGAGAGAAGCTTGAGAGGAGACTGGGGAAGGGAGGAAGCAGGATGGAGAACAAGGAGACCTGGAGGAGACACATGGAGCAGAGAGACATGAGAAGAAACTGCGCTTGCCTCTTGGTCCTGGACTGGTTGGGACAGATGTGGGTGAGAGACCCATGGGGAGGTTAACAATGGCAGCTTTTATCTTGGTTTTGATTTTGCTCTTTTCCTCCCATACTCGTTTGACTGCTTCTGACCCTTTTCTATGGGTCTCCGCTGGAAGGTGCTTTAGACTTGTGGCAGGCTTTCAAGCCTTGATTTGGCTAATCCTGTTTGGCTGGACATTTACCCATGAGGGGATGGGTATCTTTGGGTGTTTGATTTAAAAACTATATTTTCTCTCTTTTCTACATTTATTGTATTAAAGTTCCTTTCCATTAAAGGTCTTATATGTTTTATTTTGACAGAGGGGATGGCAGAATCTATTTAGAACAGGCAGGTTTGGGGTTTCTGGGGTGCCCTTCTCCTTGCCCTGTAACAATACTTCTCATTTATTTTTCCATCTATATGGTGATGATACTTGCTCATTTCAGTAAGTTTGAAAAATACAGAAAAATATAAGGATACAAAATCATTGGTATGCCGGCAATCATGAATATCACAATTTCATAATTTCCTTCTGGTCCTTTCTGTGTACTTTTTTTTTTTAATTTTATTTACTTATTTTTGGCTTTCAAATCTTTAAGGGTCGTGATCCATGATTTTTAGATCTTGTGGAAAGCAGCTACGTCCATGGACTGCACATAGTCCTCAAGATCAAGAACATAATGTATATGTTTGAATATTGTTTTTTTTTTTTCACATTTCATGAGCATCTCTCCACATCTTTAAATGTTTTTTGAAAACACAGTGGTGTTAAAGTAGATAATATTCTATCATATGGCTGCTATAATAGTTAACTACTTCCCCATTTTGGTCATTAGTTTCTAATTTTTTGCTATTATGAAAGATAATGGAAGCAACAAATTGGATATAATTAAAAACTAAAATCTGATGATTTTCTAGGAAACGGAATTCCCAAATCATCACAATATTACCAGATAAAAGAATCTAAACATTTAAGCCTCTCAGTGACTCTTGAAGCCTATAGTAAAACTAGTCAGTAGTTTAGATGAAGTCTATGTAAATACTGTTTCATTTCAACTGGCAGTCTTTTTTTTTTTTTTTTTTTTTTTTAATAGAGGCATGTTTTTATTTATTTATTTGTTTGTTTGCTTGTTTTCTTTATACATGCACTGGGTACAAGCACGGGAGGGTGAGAGAATTCACCAGAGCCAGAGCGGGGAGCAGAGCAGGCAGAATGACGAAGTACACTGCTGAGGGGAGCAGCGGGCGGCAGGAGAGGTCTGCGCGCCATGTGGGACCCTCCTCCGGTGGCCGGGGAGCAGCCGGGGATCGAACTGGTGCCGCAGAGGCCGCGGGCAGCTTCGCAACCCAGCGCTCAACCGCTGCGCCACCGGGGAGGCCCTCAACTGGCAGTCTTAACCAATTCTCTTGACTGATTTCCACTTCACTGATTTTTGGAGTAAGCTGATTCTCCACTTCTGCAGTAAAGCCCTGATATCCTGGCAGGATGAATATAACATGATCATTCTCTGGGATGCCTGTGCACTTGTTTCCCCAATGACCTATGTGTTTATTAAGTCAGTTGAGTCCACTGCCAACAAATTCAAGCCACTTATCCTTGTAATAGTAAATATATACTTTAATGAAATGTATAAACCAATGAGTATGTAAGAGGAAAGATGAAAGTTCTGAAGCACTCTCAAAGGCAAATAACTAAATTGTTTTTGAATTAGGGACAAAAATTTATATATACACAAATAAGGAGTAAAGCATAAAACTGTAACTTCTGAACTCAGATTCCTCTGTAAAAGCTGTCAGTCATATTCTACGCCTAGACTAGTGGTTCTCAACAGGGCAATACTGACCCCTAGGGGTTATTTTAGAAACTTGTGGGGCATTTTCATTTGGGTTTCACTGTTGGAATTTAGTGGACAAAGGACAGGGATGGCCCACAATGGCCTGCATAGCTTTGGAAAGGTACCCAAAAAGCCTGGTTTTCCCCGCAAAGAGGTAGACATAACTCTCCACACCTTAAATGTGGGTTTCATGTAGTGACTTTTTCCAAACAGCAATATACAGAAAGGGGATGGGTGGAGATTAACTCCATGGTGGAGAAACTTGACAAACATTACTTTAGCCAGGTGATCAAAATTAACACCAAACATGAGATATCATGTAAATGGTATGTATCTTTGATAAGGGTACTCTGCCTCTGTGGGCTTCTAAATGTCCATAACCCCAGTTTCATCATGACAAAAAATTCTGAAAATCCCAACTAAGAAATAACAAAGTATCTAACTAGTACTCCCTCCAAGCCTCCAAAGTCTAAAGACCTCTAGAATGTCACATTCTAGAGGAGCCTAATGAGACATAACTAAATATAATGTGGTATCCTGGTATTCCTTTAACAGAAAGAGGAAAGTAGGTAAAAACTAAGGAAATATCAATGAAGTATAAGCTTCAGTTAATAAGACATATCAATACAGGTTCATTAGTGGTGACAAATGTACCACACTAATTAAGATTTTTTAAATAAGGGAGCTCTCTTTACAATCTTTGCAACATTTCTATAAATCTAAAGCTATTCTAAAAAAATTTTTAAGTGTAAAGTACAAACCTGGAACAAGTAGATAAGTCCTGGAGATCTAATGCACAGCAGTGATTAGACAATACTACTGTATAATAAACTTCAGAGTTGCGAAGATCTTAACTGTTCCCATCACAAAAATGATAAAGGTGCAAGCTAAGCCTATGATATTAATAGGTTGTAAAATATAAATATCACAACACACATTATACCTTCAACTTATACAATGTTATCTATTGTTTCAATTAAATTGTAACACCTTCTCCTCTGAGTCCAGAACTCTTATTTTACTTATATGTAATTTCATATTATTATAATGTTAATATTCACTAAGGACAAAACTACCCTATAAACAGAACAATTATTATTCATTAAAGACTTTAGCAAGACTTGATTACCACTTTGAAAGAAATGAGTTTCAAACAGGGATATTATTCATGTTGAGAGACCAGTAAAACACATCATCAGTATACTCTTAAAGTTGTGACACAGTCCTTCATGAATCATGAATTCAACCTTTATTTTAAAACATCAGGGTTGGGCCTCCCCGGTGGCGCAGTGGTTGAGCGCTGGGTTGCAAAGCTGCCCGCGGCCTCTGCGGCGCCAGTTCGATCCCTGGCTGCTCCCCGGCCACCGGAGGAGGGTCCCACATGGCGCCCAGACCTCTCCTGCCGCCCGCTGCTCCCCTCAGCAGTGTACTTCGGTCCTTCTGCCTGCTCTGCTCCCCGCTCTGGCTCTGGTGAATTCTCTCACCCTCCCGCGCTTCTGACTGTACCCAGTGCTTGTATAAACAAAACAAAACAAATAAATAAATGAATAAAATACATGCCTCTTTAAAAAAAAAAAACTTATTAAAAAAATAAAAAAATAAAACATCAGTGTTAACAGTAGTCTATTAAAACAGTTTTCCAGGTTAATCTGGCTACTTCATTGTTTTCTAGTATATTAGTATCTGGGCATTTATATTTTGAAATGCATAGTATTTTATTACAAATTGATTTCACTTCCCCTTTGCATTGCAATAAAGGTATTAGATTTACCCTTTTTGAAGTTGTATATATAGGTAAATTATATATGAATTTCAAGATGGTGGATATGGTGTTATAAATGTGCCTAAGTTATATTAAAATGGGTCTGCTAAGACTGGAAGGGTTGAGAACCACAATCTTAGACCAAGCTTTTGTGAATAGAAAATGATTCTTTATATCACTCTGCACCAGTTAGGACCCTGTTGAAGTTTTGTTTATGCCTCCCCAGAAGCCCTCTCAATTTTGGTCCAGTGTCTACCCTCATGCAGGTACTTGGGTAAACATGATCCATCTAAGTCAGAGTGGTCTTATTCCCTCTGCCAGTGACTAAAGACAGGGAAGTGACCCAGTTCTATGCAAAATATGAGGGAAAATTCTGCTGAGAACTTATGGAAAGATCTGACACATTTAAGAAACACGAGCAACAAAAGATTATTTTCTTTTCCTGGGCAGTGTAGGTTTATATATTGATACCTACAAACATGTAAGTATTACTGATAACAAGTATTATTAGCCCAAAGATAAAATTCTGAGAGATAGGCAAAGAAAGATGGAAGGAAACCAGGGTTCTTGATATCTGGGATCTCCCATCAATTCATTCCAGAACCTCTGACGTGCTTATAGGTCAGATAATTGGGTCTTTTTTTATTGCTGGCAGCAAGCATGCTTACAGATATAACCCTTTTTGCAAGCAGTTATTTTTTCTGGGAGTGAGACTGTTAAGGATTATTTATATGCACTGTATGCAGGGTTGGTTAGAATGCTGTGTGAGGAAGCAACAGTGATTCTCAGCCACCACTCCTAACACAAACCACCTGCATGGTAACAGTCCCAGGCTTACCTATGTAAGTGCACAGAAGACTGATTTATTCACATTGATAGTAAGCTACACAGTACTGCTGTCCAATCATGGAAGACAAGAAACTTCTTGTGCTCTCCTTCACCCTCTTATATCACCACCTCTCAAGTAAGTTAATTTGGAAGTGAATAGTCCTAATCCCTAGAATGGTGATGGCATGCTATTTATATATATATAATGCATACAGGAATGAATTTAAGGAGTAACCAAAGAACTTGGCAAGTTGTACTTTGCAAGTAAAAAAGGCTTCTTTCTCTGGAAAGTTTTAAATGACTTTTTTCTGTTATGAATCTAATAACCCTCTCTGGATAATTCTGACATGTGAACTTGACCTTCATTGGTTCCCATGACTCACCTATTGACATCTGACCTTTTTTCTTCTCTGCACATTCATCTACGATAGTCCTTTATTCTTTATTTACTTTGCTCTGCCTAGCCTTTCCGCTTTAGCTTATCCATAGAAACCATTTGTTCTGCAGGATGTACAGAATTACAACTATTTCCAGTTCAAAATGAGTCTGCACAAGTACCTTCAGACACACTTGCAGTACACCCTGAGGGAACTTTTTTTTTTAAAGAATGAGCATACCGGAAAGAAGTTTACAAATTAAACATAATGTTATTTAAATTTAACTTTATTTCAGTCTAAAAGTACTGCTATTTGTTTGAATTGCTCACCTAAATCCATTCCATTAGAAATGGAAGTGTAAAATGCATCTAGCATTGTAAGCATAGTTGGCATGCCTGTCCAAAGGTGTTCACTGCAGTCTATGGAAAATCTAAAGGTAGTTAAATCACAAACTGGATGTTCTAATTTTCTAGACCATAAGAAATTTTCAAAATCAGTTTGTTTTTTAAAAACCCATCAAATGTCACTCATAGCAGGGAAGAGCTGATTTCTGATAACTGAGTTATCACAAGATGTAATTTCCCCAAAATGATTACCAGTATCTTGAAGACCTTGGGGTGGGACTCTTCACACGTAATAACAACATCACTTGCACAGAAATAACCAGGTGTTCCCAGAGCAGTCGGTGCTCCAGACTTCCTCGGGTGCTGTTCCCTCACAGTGGTAGTCGGGCCCAAGAGCTCAGAGGACTGCTCAAGGTCACTGGAAGTTGTCACAATGGGAGACTAGTACAGGAGGTATTGTGTGGTGTGTGTGTGTGCACACGCACGCACACATGCACACGCTTGCACTAGGGGGGTAATGAGGAGGAGGGTACCAATTTCTGAGATACAATCTAAATACTAAAAATAATGACAATATCTTGAATGCTTAAACCTTTATATTGCCTTCAATTCATTAAAGGTTTTTTTCTCATCTAGCCTGCTTTCTTTCTCATACAATCATGGGGAAGAATGATATAAAGTATGTGACAGACCAGTCCAGTGTTTGCATGCCCAGTAAATATTATTCCCATTCTCCTCCTATGCCAAAATAAAGAGGATAGTCTTTAAACTCTGAAAGTACTTTGTAAATAAGGAGAATTAGTTCTTCTATCAGCATCCTTGTCAGCATGATTATGAACTGCTCCCAAGAGGAGCTTCTCTTTTGTAACATCAACAATGTATACTATTTGAAGTGCACATGAAGTTCACTTTTGTTCAATATTCTTTACTTTCCATTGTGAAAAGCAATTTCTGAGGAACTGAAACCCCAGAAGGTAACCATAACAAAACATCTTACGTGCATTTTTTTTTTTTTTAAATGATGATTAAAAGGCAGGGACGTAAAAAGTCCTATTTAGAAGATAAAAGGCAAATGCAGCCTCTGAAGGGAATTGTTCTAATTATTACCTAAAAAAGTAAAGTTACACAATTACATTCAAGGACATTAAGACAAAGCAGTACTTTAAAATTAGGATGACTGAATAGTCATAGCTGAAATAGGAAAGGGAAACCCATTGGAGAAGAATATGAACTGGGACAGGGACCCACCAGTCCTAGATGCTTCTGTTAAATTGAAAATATTGAATCACATCATTTCCTTTTTTATCACCTACAATGTCTTCCCCTAACTCTCCCAGCAGTATTTTCACAGAACTAAACAATAGCCATCATTTTGTTAGGATTCAAAATTTCGATCCAGTAGCCATCAGGATCTTGAATAAATGCGAGGCCTTTCATTTTACCTGTAAAATGAAATGATTTTCATTATTTGAAAAGATTCTTATTAAAAATAAAAAAAAAATTTAATTAACACAAATTTTAATTTGCATTTTAATGAAATACATTATTTTGTTTAAAGTTTTAATTAGCTTTAGAAAATTCTATTGTCAATGCTGCCCAAATGCACCTTTTCTAAAATGACTAACATTTTATCTTTTACATGTAACTAGAAACCAACTCTCCTAAAATAAAACTGGGAGAATGATTGCACCTTCTGGGTACCAGGTATTGCACCTTCATGATACAACTATGCATGATATGAGTAGTCAGACTAAGTGTCTCATTTTAAAGGGGAGAATGAAAAATGAAAGCAGGGAGTGGCTCATGGCAGTGGAAAGTAGCATGGCTTACCCACAAAGCCAGAAAACCCAGACTCCTGGGTCATACAAATCCTCTCAGGACTATTCTATGTAACATAAGCTCTGCCAATCAAATTCTTTCTCCCTGAAATTCTCAACTGGGATTGAGAGGCTAGGAGGTCTGCTAGTAGAGTTGTTTGCTTAAATGGAAAAATCTGACCTTAGAAATTCATTTAGGAAACAAGATGCTTCATTAGTTTGACTCCTTATTTATGTCTAGCTCCTTTCCCCAAGATCAACCCCAGAGGAACACAGATGGAAAAAAAGTAATAAATCTCTGGGGTGATGGTAGGGGAGAGGAGAGGTGGAGATGGAGTGGGATGACAATTTTAACCTGATCTAGGTAGGAGGTGGTATTTTTGCCTGGGACCATTAGACAGTCCATCACAGCTGTAGGAGAATTCACATTAAGTTTTGTTAGCTTGGTTCTTGTTCTTCCTGGTGCCTTGGGCATCAGCACCTACCCCTGCACTGTGAGGGCCCAAACACCTAGTTCAGCTGTCCTAAGGAGCATAAGGAAGAGCAGCACAGCGTCCTGTGTGCTTGGGGAACTGAGAAGACAGATGAGAACCAACAGATCTCCCCCTGACTCCACTTTCCACACAAATAGGGTTTTGGAATAAATCTCAGATGTCTCGCCTGCTGATAATACTCTTGCTCCCTGTGTGACAAAGAAGAAGGAAGATCTATGCTGAAATGTTGTTCTGAGGAATGTGAAGTGTTTAACTCTTATTTTCAGGTACATAGGGCCTCTGCCCATCCCATCAATCTCAGATGACTGGTTGTTAAAGAGTGAGGTCTGGCCTTTCCCCATTCACTCTGACTGATGGGTAGGAATAGCTAACATTTATAGTGCACCCACAAAAAACCCCCAAAACAAAAAAAACCCAACCTCCTAAGACCAAAATAACAAGAATTTAAGGACCATAACCATAAAACAAACAATGGATTCTAGGTTCAAATAGAAGGACAAACGTTAGACCAATGGACCAAGAATGACTATTAAAACACGTAAGGAATAAGAACTATAACCAATTATAAAACAAGAACAAGAAAATACTAAGGGAAACAAGTAAACGTTAGGGATAATGAAATATATAATACAATAGATGGGACCAGAACAGATATATCAGAGGAAAAATTAGCTAATTGGTATGTGAATTTAAGGAAATCTCTCAGAAAGAAGGCAAGGACAAAAAATTAAATACAAAGCCTTTAGAAAAAAGCTGAAGATATCATACAGAAGAATACAAATCAGCAGATTTTTCAACAGCAATAGCAGATTTTTCAAGAGCAAAACCTGTCATTTATATATAAAGGCATGGTTCTAAGCAAAGTTTTGCCTTACAAGGTCTTTGAAAAACAGTTTGATTGAGGTACTGAATAAAGGCACAGAAAAATCCAAAAGATACTGTAAGAGCTATATGGAGGAAAGTGATCAAATACTTCGATGTATTTATTATCTTTTTAAAAAAGTCAAGGCCAAAGAAAAAGGAAAATAAACCAATATGCCCCAATCAGGATTGTAGTAGCATGATAGGGTACAAGAGAACAAACACTTTTTTTTTTTTTTTAAAGTGATTTTTATTTTTTTTTTTTAAGATTTATTTATTTACTTATTTATACAAGCACTGGGTACAGTCAGAAGTGCGGGAGGATGAGAGAATTCACCAGAGCCAGAGCAGGGAGCAGAGCAGGCAGAAGGACCAAAGTACACTGCTGAGGGGAGCAGCGGGCGGCAGGAGAGGTCTGCGCGCCATGTGGGACCCTCCTCCAGTGGCCGGGGAGCAGCCGGGGATCGAACCGGCGCCAGAGGCCGCGGGCAGCTTTGCAACCCAGCGCTCAACCGCTGCACCACCGGGGAGGCCCCAAACACTTTTCTTTTTGGGATAGATATTTGCATCTCAAAGCTTTTAATAAAAAAAAAAAAAAAAAAAAAAAAAGAAGGGTTAAAATGAAACAGATATTTCAAATAAAAACTGAAATAATGGATTATGATGGCAAAAACACATCTAAGCAAGATAATTATAATACATGCAAGTGCAACAAAATCTAGACAGATAGTATTTAAAGAGACATACCTAAAACATAAGGACATACAAATTTTGTAAATGAAAGAAAAAGAAATACCAGGCAATTAAAACTAAAAAGATTTAGTATAGTTGTAATTATATCAGATACAACCTACTTAAAGGAACCGATTTGAGGGTGGCTAGATACCCCTAAGATAGTGAAAACTGGTGGCCAATGAGAGAATGTGGTAGGGTCAAAGGTTGTGAGATGGAGTCTAGGGCATGGCTGGCTCTCTAGAGCCTGAGTCAAGTCCCCTGTAAAGCTACCCCAGTTGCCTAGGATACCCCAGTTTTCTTCCAATAACATCCCTTCTTTCCTTAAGCTGGTTTCAAAAGATGTCTTTAAAATTACTCACAACCAAAAGGGTCTCACTATAATAGGGCCATCTGCTATGCAATTAAAGAGGACCTAAAGAAAACAAATAGACATACCATCATCAGGTTTCTTCACAAATTTGACCCCCAGTTCTTCAAATCTTTTACAAGCAGCATGTACATCAGGAACAGCAATTCCAATGTGACCTTAAATGACAAAGTGGAGAAAGGAAGAAACAATTATAAGGGTACAGTATCCAGATGCCACAACAAAGGCACTGAAAACATTCATTCAAGAAGGATCAAAACCTAAAATACAGTTAAAAGAAAAAAAAAGAAACCAAAGCCTACACTATATTAAAGAACAACAATCTAGGTCTAACTGGCTGGGTATCATAAATCAACCAGTTGCTCTGAATTGTGAATTATTTAAAAGAAGCCCAATAATGCCTCATATATTAGCTTAATCTGTTAAGAGTGAGTCACATCAAAAAATAATCATCTGCTCATATTTAATAGGTTTATTTTTGACACTGATTATATAGCATCCAATTTAAAGCTGTAAACCTATTATTTTAATTGAAAGATTTTAGATCAAGGCCAAAGTGTATACTAGCTGAAAATTTATTAGAATCTATAGTCTACTAAAAGTCTATTAAATTTAGTAGTCTATCAAAAAGTCTACCAAAAAAAAATAATACTGAGACTGGAAGGTAAAATGATTGTGACAGAGTAAATGTCAAGTTTAGACTAAGAAAATGAAGTTAACTAAATAAAATTAGTTGTGGAACATAAAAATATGATACCCCTCATATTGATTATACTTAGTGTTTTAGATTTATTATAATCATAAACTGGTATACAATACAAAACCATACAAATCCATACATATTATATGCATGTTACATATAAGTAAAGGCAACCATACCAAATCCTCGAGGGTCTGAATTGCCACTGTGGTAACTCTGGGCCTCATCATTTTCAGTGCCCCAATTACTATAAAGGGAGGGAAAACATAATTATAAGTGACCCATAGGGCAGACATTCTGAAAAAAAGTTGCAACTATGTGTCTTTGAAATCTTACCATGTATACATGCTACTTAATATACTTGGTCTAATCTCTGCCACTGTAAATATTAAGTTTTCAACTATGGCAAGGGCAAATGGACAAAGTATATTTTAACTAAACTAGATAGACAGTACAATCAAGTATCTGAATAGGAACAATAATGATAACAAGAACATCTATCATTTATTGTGTTACTTATTTTTCATTAAATCCTCAAGATAGCTCCATGGGCTGGTTCAAGTATCTATTTTTATAAAAGAAACAGCTACCAAGGGAGACAGTATAACCCATTCAGGGTCACAGAGTTACTGTCAGAACCAAGACTTGTATTTAGATCTGTGTGATTCCAAAACTATTTCAAATCAAGGAACACGCTAAATCACACAACAGTTTTGAAACAAACATATAATAAAAAGTATATGGACATAATATAAAGAATAAAAAAAAAGAATACCCAACTGTTGAAATTATGAAGACCTTAGATGTAGTGCCTATTCATTAGCTACAGTTTAGCAAATATCTTGCTATTTCAGTTTTACCTTTTCTATATTAAAGGCTAATGATCTCACTTGCCCTACCTAAACTACAAGAACAATACAAAAACCAGAACTTGATGAAGAAAAATGAAACAGTTACAAACACAAGCATAATAGGTAGACATGGTTTAAATTAAGCCGGTAAATTAAGGGAAAAAGCTAAAAAAAATTTTTTTTTTAACTTAAAAAATATACAATGCATAATAAGATAATAACTCAAACTCACTGTGTTAGTTCAAGTGTAGCTTTTCTGGAGAACACCCAGGCTAGTTTTTCATCATTTTCTTTGGGGATGTCATTTTTATCCTCATAAGCCAAGAAATAGAGTGAAAATTTCATTGGTGGGAAATCTAATTTTTGGAGTAGCCTGAAAATTAAACAATAAGCCCAAAGTAATTAACAACAGAAAAGGTTGATTCATACTAAAATCAACATGACAATATCCAAGTTCTACTAAGAGTAAGAGCTATAAACAATGAAGCAATTTTAACAGGAAAAGCAGTGGGAAATTAATGGGGGAAAAATCTAATTAAAAAACCCACTCATGGGCCTCCCCAGTGGCGCAGCGGTTCAGCGCTAGGTTGAGAAGCTGCCTGCAGCCTCTGCAGCGCTGGTTCGATCCCCGGCCACCAGGTGAGGGTCCCACATGGCACGCAGACCTCTCCTGCCATGCCCGCTGCTCCCCTCAGCAGTGTACTTCGTCAGTCTGCCTGTTCTGCTCCCTGATCTGGTTCTGGTGAATTCTCTCACCCTCCTGCACTTCTGACTGTACCCAGTGCTTGTGTAAATAAATAAATATATCTTTAAAAGAATTTTTTGAAAAAACAAATAAATAAAAAACCCATTCATAAACCCATGTATAATCTTTTTTTCAAAAGCAAATTTTGGCAATTCATCAATTCTTCAAATATAATGAGCTGAAAAGGAATTTTGGTACTTGTATATAATGTATATATTATTATTATTCTTTCAGATATACGGCATTCAGTTAAATAAAGTAAATTTACTGAATTCTTACTATGCCAAAAGTTCTAGGAAAAGAAACTGAGGAAAGATGGCAACAGAGAAGGAAGGACATTAATATTAGAGATGTGAATGTCAACAATAAAGAGATTAACAGTACCAAATACTGCAGAAAGGTCAAAAAGATTAAGACTGAGAACAGGTCAGCAGGTCTGCGAGGGTCCCGTGAAGGCACTTTGAGCAGCAAGGGGGGGCACGAGCCCTGGGACTGCCCTGGGCTGGGAAAGAATGGGCAGTAAGCCAGTAAAAGAGTAAGTGTTGTCTCCCTGGCGATGGTTAGTACTGGCCAACAGTACATGTGGAGAGTAACAGAACAGCGGACAGGAATTGGCCTAGAACAGAGACGATTCACGTGTTGCTGTAGGTGAGGGGAAATAACCAGTGTGAAAGGAAAGGCTGATATGGAAGAGTGAATGAACTACTAATCCTGAGGTTTTAAAAAAGATAACTGAAGTTATGGCTTATAAAGTGTGTAAAGAGCGTAAGATTACTCTCCAGGGAGTAAGTAGAATGAGTACACATACAATTTTCTTTAGATTAAGGATTGAATGCTCAAAGATGAATTCATTCATAATCAGTAAGAGGGAATGGTTCAAGCATAGCAAAAGTGTAATTATCATTGCTAGGTATAATATATGTCTTGGTCCACCAAAACACACTGACTTGTAACCAATACTCATAGCAGGAATTTAGAAAACCTAAATATAAGGGACCAGGAAAAAGACTAATTATAATAAAGTAAAAATTAAAATCAACAAGCAACTATAAACCAGGGACACACTACAGGGGCTGGGGGCGGTGGGGGAGTAGGATCAAAACAAGGGGGGTGGGAATTGTTTGGGGACTATAACCAAGATGAAAATGCATACACTGTACAAAAATGAAAAATGATGTAAAACATACATAAAATTAAAAAAATAAAAAAGAATTATTGTAACATGTTTATATTATATAAAGTATCAAACACCTCAAATACTCCAATCATGAAACACTATCTCTAACCCTACTGCAGACTGCACAAACCTTATAGGACCAATCGGCTGGGAACCAGATTTAAATGAAGGTCCACTTTGGGAGTCATCAGACCTAGAATCAAATTCATCTCTATCATGTACACATGAAGGAATTTGGGGCCAGTAACTTAAATGTGAGTAACAATTTGACTCTCTTTATTTTACTGAAAATAGGGATAAAAGTTACATCATCAAGCTTAATGGGAAGACTGGATGAAATAACATGTAAAGTGCCTGGCAAATAGCAAAATTTCAATACTTTCACTTCATTCTGTTTTTTAAAAATAATGCCATAAATTTATTTACAAAACTACTTTTTCTGGAAAGAATTACAAGAAACTGTTCACAGCAGTTACCTTTGGGAAAAAGGGCTGGGAGAGGGAAACTTGCTTTTTTTTTTTTTTTTTTTTAATTTTTTTTTTAATTTTTTTTTTAAATAATAATTTTTATTGTTATATTCCCCATACAATTGCAGCCCCCCCATTCTGACCCCAATCCCTCCCCTCCCGCCCCCGCCCCACTAAAAGTGTCTCTGGTTCATAGTTTTTTCTTGATTTTGATTTTCACTTTCTTATAGTTATTCATTTTCCTGGTCCCTTATTTAAGTTTTCTAGATTCCTGTTATGAATGAGACCATCCGGTATTTTTCTTTTTCTTTTTGGCTTATTTCGCTGAGCATGATCCCTTCCAGCGCCATCCATGTTGCTGCAAATTGCATGTGTTTATCTTTTTTGAATGCTGAGTAATATTCCATGGTATATATGTACCACATCTTCTTGATCCAGTCATCTATTTTTGGGCATTTGGGTTGTTTCCAAAGCTTAGCTATTGTAAATAGTGCTGCTGTAAACATAGGGGTGCAGGTGTTCTTTGGAATTGATGTTTCTGTGTCTTTTGGGTAAATACCTAGGAGTGGAATTGCTGGATCATATGGAAGTTCTATGTTTAGTAGGTCCAGAAATCTCCACACAGCTTTCCATAGTGGTTGGACCAGTTTGCACTCCCACCAACAGTGCAGAAGAGTTCCTTTTTCTCCACACCCTTGCCAACAATTGTTGTTGCTAGTTTTTTTAATATGTGCCATTCTCACTGGTGTGAGATGGTATCTCATGGTAGTTTTGATTTGCATTTCCCTGATGACAAGTGATGTTGAACATTTTTTCATATGCCTGTTGGCCATTTGCATTTCCTCTTCAGAGAAGTTTCTTTTTAGCTCTTCTGCCCATTTTTTGACTGGATTATTTTCTTTGTTGTTGTTGAGTCTCCTCAGCTCTTTGCAGATTTTTGTGATCAGTCCTTTATCATTAGTGTTGGGTGCAAAAATGTTCTCCCAGTTTGGGGTTTCTCTTTTTTTGTTATTGTCTCTTTTGCTGTGCAGAAGCTCTTTAATTTGATGTAGTCCCAGCTGTTTATCTTTGCCTTCACTATCACTGCTTTGGGTGATGTGTCTGTAAAGATGTCTTTGATGTGCAAATCACGTAGTGTTTCGCCTATATTTCCTTCTATATATTTTATGGTTTCAGGTCTTATGTCTAGTTCTTTAATCCATTTTGAGTTGATTTTTGTGTATGGTGTGAGGTAGTGGTCAAGCTTCATTGTTTTGCATGTAGCGACCCAGTTTTCCCAGCACCATTTATTGAACAAACTTTCTTTGCTCCAATGCATAGTCTTTGCTCCTTTGTCAAAGATTAGTTGACCATAAATCTGTGGGTTTATTTCTGGATTTTCTATTCGATTCCATTGGTCTGTATGTCTGTTCTTGTTCCAATACCATGCAGTTTTGATGATTATGGCTTTGTAGTATAGTTTGAAGTCTGGGAGTGTGATGCCTCCATTCCCTTCTTTTTTTTCAGGAGAGCTTTGGCTATTCGGGGTTTTTTGTGATTCCATATGAATTTCATCAATAATTGTTCTATTTCTTTGAAGAATGACATTGAAATTTTGATTGGAATAGCATTGAATCTGTATATTGCTTTTGGAAGGATGGCCATTTTAATAATGTTTATTCTTCCAATCCATGAGCAGGGGATGTCTATCCATTTCTTTGTGTCTTCTTCTATTTCTTTTAACAGTGTTTTATAGTTTTCTTTGTATAGGTCCTTTACCTCTTTTGTTAGATTTATTCCCAAATATTTGATTTTTTTTGTTTCAATAACAAAAGGGATGGTTTTTTTGATTTCTTCTTCTTCATATTTATTGTTTGTGTATAGGAAGGCTACTGACTTTTGCGTGTTGATTTTGTATCCTGCCACTTTACTGAACTGACTGATGAGTTGAATTAGTTTTTCTGTGGAGTTTTTGGGGTTCTCTATGTATAATATCATATCATCTGCAAAGAGTGATAGTTTGACTTCTTCTTTTCCTATTTGGATTCCTTGGATGTCTTTCTCTTGTCTTATTGCTCTGGCTAGGACTTCCAGTATTGTATTGAAAAGCAGTGGTGAGAGTGGGCATCCTTGTCTTGTTCCAGATCTTAATGGAATTGCTTTCAGCTTTTCACCATTGAGAATTATACTGGCTGTTGGCTTGTCATAGATGGCCTTTATGATGTTGAGGTATGTTCCTTGTATCCCAAGAATTTCAAGGGCTTTTATCATGAATGGGTGTTGCACTTTGTCGAAAGCTTTCTCAGCATCTATTGATATTATCATATGGTTTTTATATTTCTTTTTGTTGATGTGTTGGATAACGCTGATTGATTTTTGGATGTTAAACCATCCTTGTGTCCCTGGAATGAATCCTACTTGGTCGTGGTGAATTATCTTATGGATACATTGTTGGATTCTGATAGCTAAAATTTTATTGAGGATTTTTGCATCAGTGTTCATTAGGGAGATTGGCCTGTAGTTTTCCTTTTTTGTGTTGTCCTTGTTCGGTTTTGGTATTAGTGTAATGTTGGCTTCATAGAACGTGTTTGGTATTGTCCCTTCCTTCTCAATTTTTTGGAAGAGTTTGTGAAGGATAGGCACTAATTCGTCTCTGAATGTTTGGTAGAATTCATTTGTAAATCCATCAGGTCCTGGGCTTTTGTTTTTGGGGAGGTTTTTGATTACCATTTCAATTTGGCTGCTTGTAATTGGGCAGTTTAGGTGTTCTATTTCTTCTTTATCTAGCTTTGGGTGATTGTAGAGTTGTAGGAATTTGTCCATCTCCTCTAGATTGTTAAACTTGTTTCCATATAACTGTTCATAGTAGTTACTGATTATTCTTTTGATTTCTGCTGTGTCCGTTGTGATTTCTCCTCTTTTATTGATGATCCTGTTTATTTGTGCTTTCTCCTTTTTTCCTTTGTGAGCCTGGCTAGGGGTTTGTCTATTTTATTGATTTTTTCAAAGAACCAGCTCTTGGTTTCATTGATCTTTTGGATTGTTTTTTTAGTTTCAATTTCATTTATTTCTGCTTTGGTTTTTATTATTTCTTTTCTTCTACTGGTTTTGGGGTGTTTTTTGTTGTTCTTTTTCTAGATCTTTGAGCTTCGAGATTAGGTTGTTTCTTTGAGTTCTTTCTTGTTTCTTGATGTGAGCTTCTATTGCTATATATTTTCCTCTTATTACTGCTTTTGCTGCATCCCATACATTTAGGATATTGGTGTCCTCCTTGTCGTTCAATTCAAAAAATTTTTTAATTTCTTCTTTCATCTCCTCATTAGTCCAGTGGTCTTCCAGTAGTGTGGTTTTTAATCTCCATGAGGTAGGAAAGTTCCTTGCCTTCTTTTTATGGTTTATTTCTAGTTTGATGCCTTCATGGTCAGAAAAGATGGTTGATATGATTTCAATCTTGGTGTATCTGTTGATGTCTGTCTTGTGCCCCAGTATGTGATCGATCCTGGAGAATGATCCGTGTGCGCTTGAGAAAAATGTGTACTCCGTTTTTTGGGGGTTTAGTGTTCTATAGATGTCTGTTAAGCCCAATTGCTCTAGGCCCTTATTTAGAGCTTTGGTTTCTTTACTTATTTTTTGTCTTGTTGATCTATCCATTGTTGATAGTGGTGTGTTGAAGTCTCCCACTACATATGTGTTTTCTCTGATGTCTGTTTTCAGAGAGGATAACAGTTGTCTGATATATTTTGATGCTCCTTCGTTTGGTGAGTATATGTTAATGAGTGTTATTTCTTCTTGAAGTATTGTCCCCTTGATCATAATGTAGTGACTATTGGGGTCTCTTTTTATCTTTTTGAGTTTGAAATCTGTTTTATCTGATATAAGTATAGCTGTTCCTGCTTTCTTTTTTGGTCCATTTGCTTGTAGGATTGTTTTCCATCCTTTAACTTTGAGCCTATTTTTATCTTTTGTAGCTAAATGTGTTTCCTGGAGACAGCAAAAGGTTGGGTTTTGTTTCTTAATCCAGGCTGCAACTCTGTGTCTTTTTATTGAAGAGTTTAGTCCATTTACATTTAGAGTTAATATTGATATGTTAGCATCTGTATTTGCCATTGTGTTTGTCTTTCCTTTGATTTTATTTATTTATTCTTTTAATAACTCTTTTTTTTTTTTTTTTTTTTTTTTGCCTTCTTTCATTTTTATTCGTCCCTCTGAGGTTCTGGCTTTAGGATTCCTTGTAGTATTTTTTGGAGTGGGGGTTTAGTTGTAATGAAATTCCGGAGTTTCTGTTTCTGGGAAGGTCCATATTCTTTCTTCAAAGAGGAAGGAGAGCTTTCCGGGATAGAGTATTCTTGGTTGGCATCTGTTTTCTTGGAGTCTGTTGACTATGTCCCTCCACTCTCTCCTTGCCCGTAGTGTTTCTTCGGAGAAGTCTGATGTCAGCCTGATTGGCTTTCCTTTGAATGTTATCTGTTTCTTCAGAGGGAAACTTGCTTTTCATTTTGTATTTTTCTGAACTGATCAGCTTTCTTAAATATAGACATGTAATATATTACTTGAACTTTTCTATCAAGGTCAGTGGAGCGTATCTAGGCAGTAAATTAAAAAACATTTAATTTCATTCTTTATGTATACACATAAACAATAAACAAAAACATTTGTGTTATTTATAGAAACAAATCAAGAAAAATAAATATATATTAAGGATTACAAGATCAAAAGGTACTACCTGCTTAGCATTATATAAAAGTGGGACAGATGGCCAGTATTTGGCAAAGTCATTCATTCTCTAAGTCGTATCTTTATATTGTTCCTAAAGTAAACAAGAAGCTAAGAGTAGCTACAATATCAAAAGGGTCTGGACATGTTAAGAATTTAAGCAGCAGCTCTCAGAAGGAAGCTATAGAAGATGCAAGAACTGGTGTCCTGTGGCCAGGAAAGCTTGGCTGGGAGAAGGGGAGGAGCCGGACAGCAGCCCCAGCTAGTGATGACTCGTGGCAGACTCCTGGCCAAAAGAACTTTTCTGACTTCTGAAGCAAACTTTAATCTATTTTTTGTGAACCTGAAAATTTTCCCTATGTTGGCCAAGCTATGTATTTAAGCAGTACAGTTGTCAATAGTTTACTTACGTCATTCCAAGAACTTTAGTATAAAATTCCAATGACTTCTTAGGATCCTTAATTCGCAGCATGGTCTGCTGCAGCAGAAAATCCTAAGGAGAAACAATATATATTAAACACCTTTAGCTTTTACCATTTGTTACCAACATTAATTGTGCTTTCTATAATAAGATTGTAAAATAGAATTCAAATATAACTTAGCTATATACACAATACCGTTCTTGCAATGTAAAGGGGAAATGAAAGCAATGTGTAATAAAATACTATGCATTTCAGTATGGAAATGTGCACATACTACTACAGAAGAAAACAATGAGGCAGCCAGGTGCTAGCACTAAAGATTGGAAGAAGGAAAACCGTTTAATAAACTACCAGATTCCTCTCTCACTTTACCCACTACAATCTGTTCTCAGATTTACAAGTTACATTGCATCACCCTTCTACCCCCAAATGAAGAAGGTTTCCCATTTCAGAATCTCAAAGTCCTTACGATTGCTCGCTATGATTGGCCTGATACCTCTCTGGCCTTTCTTCCAGCCCACTCACTCTGTCCCATGGGTCCTCGGTGCTCAGTGAACTAGTGAGGCACATTCAGACTAGTGAACTAGTGAACTAGTGAGGCACATTCCCCTCTGCTGGAATGTTCCCCAGAGTCATTTGTAATTTTTCACAATGCTTGCTCAAATGTCATCCTTTCTATGAGGCCTTACCTAACCATTTTATTTAAAAGTGTAATCTCTAATCCTCCTACTTTCATCCATTTTTTTTTTCTTTTCCCATAGCACTTGTCACTTTTTTTTTTTTAAAGATTTTATTTATTTATTTATACAAGCACTGGGTACAGTCAGAAGTGCGGGAGGGTGAGAGAATTCACCAGAGCCAGAGCGGGGAACAGAACAGGTAGAAGGACCGAAGAACACTGCTGAGGGGAGCAGTGGACAGCAGGAGAGGTCTGCGCACCATGTGGGACCCTCACCCAGCAGTTGGGGATCGAACCGGCGCTGCAGAGGCTGCGGGCAGCTTTGCAACCCAGCACTCAACCGCTGCGCCACCAGGGAGGCCCAGCACTTGTCACTTTTTAACATGCTATTTACTATAGCTATAGTAAATACTATAGCTTTTATTGTTCTTCTTTCCTCACTAGAATATATAAATTCTAATAAGGGCAGGGATGTTTGTTTGGTTTTATGATGTCTTAGAACCTGGCACAGAGTAGGTAGCCAATAAATATTTATTTATTGGGTAAATGACTTTTTCCTTTCTAAGCAAGCAGCATCCATCATTACTGGTCTCTTCAGTTAAAAAAAAAAAAAAAAAAAAAAAAGCACGGAATCTAAAAATCACCTCTTAAAATCTGTTCTGTACTGACTCAATTGATTCCTGTACCAGTGTGACATATTGGTCACATCCTATTTTGTCTCTCCAACATCTTTCTAGTCTCAACATTAGCACTGCTGGATGACAGATGACTTTAGCCACAGGATTTTTTTTTTTTTTTTTCTGTAGATGTTGTGCCAAGTATTGTAACAGCAGTTTAACACCCTTGCCCCTCCTAGCCCTATCCCGCTCTATCTGAGCTCTGGCCTATAATCTTTCTTGAAAGCAGGATCTCAAGAGGCTTTGAAGAGTTTAAACTCTTTGACCAAGATATCCCCCCTTTAAAAATCTAGCTATGGAGAGAATTAGAAACCCTGATAAAGATTTATGGATGAAGACATTCATTACAATACCTCTATAATAACAATTAGAGTGACAGACACTGTTATAAGTGATTTACAGAAATTAATTCATATCTTCACAACAACCCTGTGAGATACATGTTATTATCATTCCCATTTTACTGCAAAGAGTGTAAGTGGCAGAGAAAAAATTCCAGCTCCAGCATTTTGGTTCTAAAGGCCTAACTTTCTATCACCTTGGTTAATGTCCCTCTAACAATGAAGGAATAAATTGGGATCCAGGGGCAGTGGGTTTTTGATAACAAAAAACCAGGGCTTGGTCTGAGCAACTTATTCTATGCTCACACAATAATTTTCTTTTTATCACTAAAATATTCTGCTTATTCTTTGTACTTCAGATAAACACTCAAATGATCTTGAGAAAAATTTCCTTTCCTTAAAAGTTCCTAAAAATTATTTTATTTTATTGCTATGGTTCTAAAATAGTTTAAAGTAAATATATCTTGTGCTTAAAAAAGACATTCAATCTTACCTCACTGGACAATTTTTAACAGTCTTGTTCCCTTATTAAGCTCTAAATTCAGAACAGAAGATGTATTTTATATTTACTACAGCGTTTCTGGGATACTTACTAGGTAATAAAGATTTTCTCTTTTGCCTTACAAAAGGGAATAACAAATAATCAGTTTTGAGGGCATATTCTCCAAATTGAATTGGCTCAAAACTACTATTAAAAAAAAACTCTAGAGGTACAAGCAAGGCTACTTCTCTAGCATGTACTATGTGCCTACAGTACAATCCTGACAAAACTGTTAAGGCAGGGCAGGGATATGAACCAACGATTCAAGGTCTCTCTGAGCACCTCTAAATGATTTTTTGGCATAAGATATGAGACTTAGGTCAAGCTTTATTCTTTACCTATGGCTGTCCACTCATGTCAGAACTATTTGTTGTAAAGGCTATCTTCATTGACTGGCTTTTGCATCTTTGTCAAAAATCTGCTGGGCATCTTAACCCTTTGCACTCCGCTGTCCCCTCTCAGGGGACATCGGAATTCTAGCATATCACTTGGATGTCCCCTCTCAGGGGACATTGCAATTTATCAGTGATTATGGGGAATTGAGTTATTTCAACGCAACTTTTTGAGACATGCACGTTTCCCTGAGGTTTTATCTTGAAATGGCACAAGAAATTAAATCAAAATATCGTAAAATTACTAAGATATATACAAGAAATGTCAGCGGGTTTTGTGTTGGACGAGAACGTGAGATGCGTGCTCACGACGGTCCAAGCACTTCGCGACGCCACTTGAAAAGAGCGATAAGGGGAGTTTGTAGAAGAAAGGTCGGTTTTTGAACATAGCACGCACTGTATAGTGAGATATATAATTACAAATAAACAAGTCTACATCTGGAGGCAAAGATTTTCAAAGCTGAGCTCATTTTGGTTTGAAGCTTCGAGCAGTGCACCTAGATCTAACGAGGAGAAAATTCAGAAAAGTGATTCTTTTCTTAGTGAATAAATTGTTTGGTGAAAGCTATTTTGGTAAATATCATCTTGTCAGTTAGTAATAACAATTAGAAATTTTCAACCCATGCATTTATTCATATTTTTTATTAGAACAATGGCAAAGCGTCCAACCACGAATGAGTCTCGTGACACAAGTAGTAGTGAAGATGAGTTCCAGATAGACCTCTATACAGACATGTCAAACATGCACTAATCAGCCTGCAATGCATATTGGGGAGTGTTACAAAACTTATCATACTGTACAAAATTATAAACAATAAAATATTGTGTTTTTTGCAAATATACATTCCTCGATGTCACCCAATTCATATAAGTCCAATATCATTATAATACGTTACTTGGTTCCAAAATTATACTAAATAATACGAGGGTCTGTAAATGCACGTTTCCGCCGCAAAGTAGCATCAAGTACCTGGTAGCCAATGTCCAGAATGGTTCGGAGTGCAAAGGGTTAATATGGATCTGTGTCTGTTCTACTCCAGTGACCAGTATCTAGCTCCAATATCAGAGTATGATTACTGTAGTTATGTAGTCTTAAAGTCAGATAGACTGATTTCTTTCATTTTATTCTTTTCAAAATTGTTGTTTCTTTGCCTTCCATATAGACTTTAGGATAATCTCGTCTATCTTTTTTGTATTATTGTCAGTTGTTTACATATCTATATAACTTTGGGGTTACACTGTGACTCCTCCATAAGTGTATTTATTTCACTCACTCTCCACCAAATCTCCCATGTGTATATCTTAAAAAAGGTTTGATAGGGATTGTGTTGAACAGGCATATCCATTTGTGGAGAAGTGACATCTTTACTATGCTTAGTCTCCAATTATGAACATAGTCTCTCTCCATTTATTTAGATCTTCTTTCAGTTCCTTTTTCAGTACTGTGTAATTTTTTCAGTATGTAAGTCCTTAGATTTATAACTAAGTATTTAATTTTGTTGAGCAACTATAAGTGGTATTGTATTTTCAATCTTGGTGCTCATGTGCTCTTTGCTAGTTGTAAGGAAAATGAGTTAAATTCAGGCTAATTTTTTTTGCCCTCCAAACAACAGACATAATTTTGAAATGTTATGTACCTTTCCTAGACTTCCAGCAAACAACTGATGGGCCTTGCATTTGTAGCAATGTATCAGTTAAGACACTCAACAGTATAAAGGGGGGAGAGGGGGTAGAGGCTCTGTTGTAAGTTATGCCTTTCAGTCTCTGATCTTTTAGTCTCTCTCTGCCTGCCTGTGTATATAGTCCTGGCTCAGCATTAAAGGCCTGCAAAATCCACCAAAGGCTCCAAAATTCTCTTTTCATCTGCCAGAACTGACAATGAACCTACCCGACCTGGGATGGTTACACAACCCTAGTTTAGAAAAGTACAAAACTGTTTTGTATGTTTATCTTGTATTCTGCAACCTTGCTGAATGCACTTATTAGTTCTAGAAAAATTATTTGTAGATTCCTTAGGATTTCCCATGTAGCCAATCATGCCATCTGCAAAAAGGGACACTTTTATTTTTCCCTTCCACTCTATATGACTGTTACTTCTTTTTCTTGCCTTATTGCACTGGCTAGAACTCCTGACGCTATGCTGAATGAGTGGTATAGAGAACCTTGTCTTAGTCTTCCAAATTTAGGAGAAAGCATCACCATTGAGTTTGTTAGCTACAAATTTTTTTATAGATGTTCTTTACCAAGTTGAATAGATTAATCTCCATTTAACACACATATATATTCAATCATGAATGGTGATTTTTTTCACCTACTTTTTCTGTATCAATTAGTAAGATTATATTATCATATAATTTTTCTTCTTTAGGCTCTTAATATAGATACTTTGACTTTTGAATACTGAGTCAGCCTTATGTAACTAGACCATTTGGTTTTATGGC